AAGATATTGAATAAAAGAAAATGGAGGAACATCCTTCTGCCCCCCTCCCCCACATAACCGTGGTCAATGGGTGGGGCATACTTACTTACTGTAGGGGCTTAGTGTCTCCAACATGGCGTATTATAATATAAAAGGGGGGACTCTAAATAATTATACAAGAGGTGGACCCAGGGTCCCTCTCCCTGCCCCAACCATTGGTGGCTAGTGGGGCTATATATAGTTATAGAAGGGAGTCGATCAGATGTTCCTCCCGTCCACTGCACATGAACGGCAGGTGGGGGCTCTAAATAATTATACAACAGGGGTTGTCATTGTCAAACCCCCAATTAGTAGCATGGTCCCTCTTGATTGACTACGGGTGCCCTAATCACTCCCATTAAAATTAATAAATTCTCAATAACCACCTCAACCTAATACTAGTGAGAGGGGGCATTAAACTAATACTTGTAAAATAAAATAAAATGAAATTATAAATAAATGAAAGCATACTTACAATCAGAAGTTTTTTCTTCTAAATCTTCTGTTATCCAGGCCCCAAAAAGCCAAGTTAAAATCCATTATACATGACGTAACTGTTAAGAAAAAAAAACATGATTCTAAAAAAACCCAATAAAAAAGAAAATTGCAACACAAAAATCTACTTCTTTTTCATCCCACAAGGGCTCAACACAGAATGAGGCTTCAAGGAGAGAGGAGGCCTCATGCTTTCATACTTTCCCATGCTTTGAATTCTTATTAGAGCCTCCTGATTGGTTGGCTTGTAAGTCAACCAGAACACTCTGACAGTCAAGTCTCTTTTTCCTTGAGATTTGCCATAGGAATTCCAAACCAATCAGAACACTCTGTCATGAAAGTCTCCCTTCTCTCGAGAGTTGCCATTCTGCAGTCAAGAAGGATTTTTCCCAATAGTTTTGTGTTTTTTGCCTTCTCTTGGATCAACAGCAAAAACAAATGAACTTGATGGACACATGTCTCTTTTCAGCTGTGTAATTATATGTAACTACGTAACTATTAAAGTTTAAACAGGGGAAACCCTTAAAAAAGGATTTTCCCACCTTAAAACCATTCTGTCTGAAGACCTTGCAGGACAAAGATGGAGATTGTTTTTGCTTTGTGTCTGTTGTCTTTCTTGTCTGTTGTTTGCTTTTTTATTTTTATTTTCAAGTGTTGTGTCCTGTATAATGGATTTTAATTTGCCAATATTTGGGGCTGACAAATATACAATTTAGGAGAAAGAAGACCTGAGAATAAAGGAATATTTCCATGGTTAAGAGGGGATCCCGAAGGTACCAACTATTTATAACTAAATTTACATCCTGATGCAGTTTATGTTAGGTTGTATTAGATTTTTTTATTTGATTTTCTGTTCCATCCAGTCTCTAACACTTTCTCTCCCTTCCTTTTTTTTTTACCTTGTTTCTGATGTCTAAAACCCACTTGTGTAATTAACCGGTTAAAAAAGTTACGGTGTGATTTTTTGATTCGATTTTTTCATAGCAAGAAAAACACTTTAAAAATGTGCCATCAAAATCATGATTTATTTTTGATTTAGTGATACCATAGTTTGCTGTGGAATTATTGGTGAAATGTGAATGTTCCAAATGCATGTATTTAAAATACCAATGGAATAATAAAATATCTATAATTAATAATAAATTAAATAATGGAATTCATCAGCGATAGAGTTAATTTTCACTGCACTACTTAATTATCTGTTGCAGCAGTGTCTGATTTTTTTTCTGCCACATTTCCTTATGTCCTTCGAACATCTTGATATAAACCGCTCCTCATACAATTATTTCCTTAATCTTCACAGAAATCCCAGTGCAATCTTCTCATAAATCCATTTTTACAGCATTTTGGAGAAGACAATCAAATGATGTAACACTCCTGATAACCACAGTGCACGCTTTTTATTATTTTATCCTGAGCAAAATAAATACAAGTAATTATGGTTAATTACTAAGGCCTCATTTTACTTTTCCCAAGTAAATACTTCATCACTTCATCACTCAATGTTCTTTGTCAACATTAACAACTTGGTAGAAATCCAAAGAAGTGTCTAAAGTAGTTAGTATTTTTTTTAATGTTATTCTCTTCCAAGCCCTGATTAAGATAAATAATTAAGATAAGTCTGGTTTTTCAAAAAGAATAAAAAAAAATGGAAGTCCCCAAAAGTTGAATATATATTATCTATATCAGCCACATATTTTAAGTACAGTATAAAGTTATGTTTTATAAACTTTCAAAATAAAAGTAACAGTCTGCCGAACTGACCGTTACTTTCTAATATGTTCTATCAAAACAGTAATAAAGCTTAATCATCACCACAAATGTATATAAATCATATCTAATTTGATCAGTCCAGTATGGATGGAACTTGTATTAAAAATACAGAAATGTAAATGTGAGGGCATGTAGGACAATATTATGGTCAAAGTCCCTTGTTTTTAACTATCCCTGACCCACCACTGTGCTTCACCTCGCTTGGTTACTTTTGGTTACTTTTGGTTACTTTTGGAAACCAGTTTCTGGTAATCTAATTTGAGGAAACAAGGTGATTTTCTATACCCTTTTCCATAGTGTTTCTCTTCATAGCAATGTGTGAAGTATATGGAGGTCCTTGGACTATTCGTTAAGACAAGGCATAATGTTTGTATCGGTTGGATTCTGGTTTCTTCAAAGGGACAGAGCACTATTTATAATGACCACTGGGAGTAAGAGGTAGTCAGCATGGATAAAAACTCCAAGTCCACATGAGTTTGGAAAATAAATTAACTAACTGAGCTGCATTTACAGGCCCGTACACAGCCATAGGTCCAAGCTGACTGATGTTTTATTTGTGATATGCTGCTGTACTGGAGTGCTGGGTGTCTGAGCATGGTAGTAGAGGATAACTGTGTATGTGCAAAAACCTGACCCTTGATGAACCCCAACCTTTGCTTCCAATAAAAACACACCACACTTGCTTTGGAGTAAAATAGGCCACAGCTTTATTAAAATATATATATATATATATATATATATGAATCTTTAAACTTCAACTTCATAACATAAAACACTATATACATAACTACTCAGTAAATAGATACGACACTGAGTACCACCATGCCAACCAACCATAACTTAAGGGCAGGTGCCCACTCCCCCCTCGTTCCAACCAGCACAAGACCTTTTCTTGGGTCTACCATTGGGTAATGCTAACCTCTAGCCGGTTAGTTGGCTCAGTGGCCACGTCCGTTGTCCTTTACTGTACCTGAGGTTAGGGGAGGGACAGTCCTACCCATCCACTTTCCACGGACCGCTGGTCCAACCACCGGTTAACAAGGGCCATATACCGCCACAACCATTGGTTAATAAGGGCCATATAGTTTCGCCCTAAATCAGCATGGCCGCCCCAAAACCACAGCCGTGGCCTCCTCCAAAGCCTCCTGCAAAGCTAAATTAAATAAATCTAGCCCAACATCCTTCAGGCGGACCCCATCACTATGAAGGTAAATAGAAGCATTACGCTCAAAGATGCGATGACGCACTGTGAGCCCCCCATTCCCTTCACAAAATGTGAGACCCTTTTGTTGAGCTTAATTCTGCCCTGTTCCAAAACCCTGGGGTCCCTAGCTCCCCGCCAGAAATTCAGAGAGAGCACCTCAGACCATATTAAAAACACCCTTGGAAATCGGACTTAGACCTCCCCCAAATCTTTCAGGATCTTCTCCCCCAGATCCCACCCCAGAACAGTGCCAAGATCGTTTCCCCCAGCATGCATTAAAATGACATCAGGAGCACCGTGCAGGCCGGATAAACAGACAAACTGGAGCCCGCATCTGCGCCCAATGGATGTCAGAATGGCCAATGACCCATACTTGCTTTCCGGCTCTAATGTCCAAAGGTGGAAACGGAATCAGTCCGGTTGGATGAACATATGATCAAAACCTCCCAGATTGCCATCTCCCAATCCTTTGAATAACCTCTTCAGCCAACCCTATGCAAGATGCCTCAGTAGCAGCCCCTATCCGAAAGGGCCTTGGAGCTAGGCAGCCCTAAAAACTCCAAGACCATTCGGAAAACCCTGATAAATTGAAAATGGACAAGAAACTGGCATCCCCGTGGACCAGGAAAGGACCCTCGCCTGCCCAGAAAGCATAAAGACATGCCACATGACAAACCATAGAGCCAGGGATGCTCTGCAACGTGACCCAAGTACCAGGTCCCAGAACACCCGTTTGGCCTGCGGATCAGAAACCTCACAGCATCCGCTTCACCAAAAACATCCCCCAATAACCAGTTCGCCCACCAGCATGGCCCCGAAAAAGGCAAAGTAGAATGCCAACCAAAACAACACTACTTCAAATGGGGAGGGACAAACCTGCCTCAGAACCGAGAATATGCCTACCATAAGAACGCGAGAATCAGAACTCTTAGTGTCAGGGGCGTACCTAGAGCATTTGGCACCCGGGGCGGATCCTGTGCTTGGCACCCCCTTGCCCCACCCCCAGTGCCAGTTTGACTCCGCCTTCGATTTTGCTTAGCTCCGCCCCACTTTTCCTCCGTGCAGCCAGTTTATCAGCTGTTTGCTTGTGTGAACTGTACTGGCCGCACGGCACCCTAACTACCATTGGGCACTGTGCGGCCACAGCTCACACAGCCCCCTCCAGCCAGGGCCGGTGCAAGGATTTTTTCTGCCCTAGGCAAAAGTAAAGTTTGACGCCCCCCCATGTGACAATGCCCCACCCATACGATTTGCCATGTTATCTAACGCCAGTGCTCCAGTGCCGCTGTGTTTACATTAAGAGGCCTGCAGGGACAGGCTATAGACACCAGAACCACTACATTAAGCTGCAGTGGTTCTGGGGATATTATTCGTGGGGGATAAAGAATGATTGGGAGGGGGGGTAAAGAAAGATTGGGATTGGGATAAAGAAAGATTGGGAGGGAAGATAAAGAAAGATGGGGGGATAAAGAAAGATTGGGAGGGGGGATAAAGAAAGATTGGGAGGGGGCTAAAGAAAGATTGGGAGGGGGATAAGGAAATTGGGAGGGGGGGATAAGTAAAGATTGGATTATTTATCTCCCCCCCTCCCAATTTCCTTATCCCCCCTCCCAATCTTTATTTATCCCCCTCCCAATCTTTATTTATCTCCCCTCTCCCAATTTCCTTTTCCCCCTCTCCCAATCTTTCTTTATCCCCCTCCCAATCTTTATTTATCCCCCCTCCCAATCTTTATTTATCCCCCCTCCCAATTTCCTTATCCCCCTCCCAATCTTTCTTTATCCCCCTCCCAATCTTTATCACCCCCCTCCCAATCTTTCTTAATCCCCACCTCCCAATATTTCTTTATCCCCCTCCCAATCTTTATTTATCCCCCCTCACAATCTTTCTTTATCCCCTCTCAATCTTTCTTTATCCCCCCATCTTTCTTTATCCTCCTCCCAATCTTTCTTTATCCCTCCCAATCTTTCTTTTATCCCCCCCTCCCAATCTTTATTTATCCCCCCTTCCCAACTTCTCCCCCCCCCTCCTACCACTGTTGTAGCATGGCTGAGCTCTGTATGGTCCGCGGGTACAAGGAGCTTTTGTACAGGGAGTGTGCACTTCCTGTTAGTCCGGCCGGGTACAGGAGACAGATACTCCCTGTACCCGTGGACCATGATACAGGGCTCGGCCACGCTACAGTGAGGGAGTGACAGGAGGGAGTGCTGAGCGCTGAGCGCTTCCCTCCTGTCAGCCCCTCTCCTCAGGCTGCTCCCGGGCGGGCAAAGCTGCAGCCGCCTGAGGCTCTCTACAGAGCGCGTGGGCGGCTGCAGCATGAGGGGAGCCGGCGCTCCTGGCGGCGCCCCCTCCCAAGGCACCCCCCACCCTGGTGGCACCCGGTGCGGACCGCCCCCTCCGTCCTCCCTTAGTACGCCACTGCTTAGTGTACAGCCCTACAGTATGCATTCAGAAGCAAACAGTGCAGCACCAGACACCGCAGAAGATGAACCACAGGAGGGGATGAAGCAGACAAATTGTTGATGGCCTGCACAATCCCCAAATTATCACAGTGGAAGACCACCCTAAGAACCCTGAGGAGATCACCCCAGATCTCCACAGACATCACAACAGGAAAAAGCTACAAGAAAGCCAACCCCCAAGAATCTGGCCAAGACTCTGCACACCACTGGGCCCCAAAGATGGGCCCAAAACCCACCGTGCCTGCGGCATTGGTGAACAAATGAAGCTTGGCATTGGACACCTAAGGCGACTGCCAATACGAAGAAGACAGACCAAACACCCAAATCCTCGCGCAATGGGTGAGTGATCCACACATAATGGTGAGGGCGATCTAACCCCAAAGTAGCCGTTGCCAAACAGTGATTAAACACCCTCCTCATAGGAATAATTCGGCATGCAAATTGTAGCTTACCCAAGAGCGACTGCAGGTGTCGCAACTGAATTTTCTTAAGTGACCTGGCTGCAGAGATCAGGCCGTGCAGTTCCAGCACCTTATCCTCCAGCAAACGACATTCCCCAGCAACTGAATCAATCTCAATCCCCAAGAAGCTCAAGCAGGTGGAAGGACCCAGCATCTTGTCAGTGGCGAGCGGTACCCCAAGTTGCAGAGAGACTGATTCCAGGATTCAGAGAAGGTGTGAAAACATATTCGAACCCACTGGACCCACACATAAAAAGTCATCCAAACAATGAAGCAGCAAGTTACACACTGCCTCTTCCCACACTGCCCACTCCAGGAATGTATTGAAACATTCAAAATAGAAGCAGGAAATCGAACAACCCATGGGCAAACACAGGTCAACATAGTACCTGCCCTGGAAGAAACAACCCAACAGGTGATGGCAGCCCAGGTGGAAGGGAAGCAACCAAAAGGCAGCCTCAATATCAGCTTTTTCCAGCAGAGCCCCAGGGCCCGCCACCCAAACCACCCAAACCACAGTGTCAAAGGATGCATAAGACGCCCTATACAGTGCCTCAGCAATATCACTATTCACCGAACCCCCAAACGGGTAGGACAAATGGTGAATCAGCCGAAACGTACCCAGCTCCTTCATGGGTATCACCCCCAACGGGGAGACCCATAAGTGAGGGATCGGCGGGGCCATAAACAGGCTCGTCAGCTACCACCTCAGGGTGATCCCTGACCGACCTGAGATTCTGACATAACCCAGGAGAATCCCACACACAGTGCGGAATCCAAAACCCACCCCAGAAACCCCCAAGGAGCAGCTCTGTGGTTCCTATAATGGCTTAGCCAAGGGAGCATCGCACCGACGTCCAACAGTGTCCTCCCCTTTCAAGACCACAGTATCCCAATGCTCCCCGGCTTTTCCCTGCTTTAAACAGCGGGAAGCTGAGTGAGAACCTCCACACATGGATCATTCGTGTTTTAACTTGCAACTGGTTCCCCATTTGCACTGGTTTTCGTTGTATTGCACACCTGCCACAGGCGCGTGAGAGTCAGGGACCGCTAGGGCAGAATCCACCAACGACTCACTCTGAACAGGCACCCCCAGCCCCCCAGCTGAAGCAACCAGAGAAGGGTCCTACCCCCGCCCGCCCTAACCTGCACGTTCAAAGAAGGGACCGCTGAATCCCGTTCCCAAGTATCCAACAGGCCCCCAGGGCCCCCAAAACTGACACTCCACCAATGCAGAACTGGACTCACCAAAGGGCACGGGAGTTGATTGGCATAGCGGAGCCGTAACCACTGAAGGCTGGGCTGAAGCTGCTACTTCCAATGGGAGCGATACCGACGTGGCACACAAAGAGGCCTGAAACATGGCCCGGTCTGGAGTCAACTGGGTAGAAAGAACAGATGAATTCACATCCCTTCCCCCTTGACCCATACTGGCAGGCCCACCCCAGGGGACGGGGAAGGCCAGGGGTGCCGGGAAGAACCAGACGGCACCCCCATGTAGGGCAGAGGGCTAGCATCTTGTAAGGCCTCAGCTCTGAGGGCAGAGAGGACAACTTTAATATCCATACCCTGGCCACAAACAGCACTTGGAAATCAGGTATATGGAGCGCAACAACCAGCAATTACCAAGCTGTTCCCAACTGATAATTAAGATGGCTGCTAGGGATGTGCATGGGCAAAAATCTGGTTTGGTTTGGTTCAGTTAGAAAATCGGGTAAGTAAAAAAATGTGTCGCTTCAGCAATTCGGACCCATGGCATTCGGTTCAGTTTGGCACTTCCAAAATTCGGGACTGCGGCAATTCGGCACTTTGGCTTTTCGGAACTTCGGTAATTCGGACCTTAACCCTAACCCAACCCCTAAACACTACCCCTAAGGCCTAACCCCTAAACCCTAACCCCTAACCCTACACACTAACCCTACTCCTTCCCCTAACCCTAATCCACTTTGGAACTTCGGCAATTCGGAAATTTGGCAATACGAACTTTGGACATTCGTAATCATCTGAATTGCACATAATTCATCCGAATGTACATTTGGAACAAAACGAATTGCACATGTCTAATGGCTGCTGTACTGTAAGATGGCAACCTATTTATAGTATACTACCCAAACTACTCCACCCACATCCCAAACCACTTTACCACATTCCTCTGTATACACTCCCCTCACACTCACATGTCCCTGTTCCTGCCTAGGCCCAGCCTAGCTCCTAAGGGTCTTTATCACACTGGCAACAGTTTCAAGTAGTGAGCGCTGTGCATTTACATGTTACTTAACATCAGCATTTGAGACCCTGTGAGCTAATGGGGGGCTGGAAATACAGTGGGGGCAGGAAATACAGTAAATGTAAAAATAAACACTAGCTTGCCAGACACACATACACATCTGGGCCGTCTTTAACGCGGGGCAAACGGGGCAGCTGCCCCGGGCCCAGTTACTCTTGGGGGGCCCAAGGCAGCTTCCCCATGGGCCCCGCTGCCCTCAACAATTGTTTCTCCCATGGGGCCGCTGGCCCCCACATTAAGCAGGCCACCGGGTGGGTATTGTAAGCAGGGGCCCGGTCACACACTGTAGCACTTTAACAGCGCGACCGGGCCCTTTGCTTTTCGGCAGCGCTGGGAGGAAGTGACGGCTGCGAGTCACTTCCTCTCACTAAGGAGAGGAGCCGCGCGGGAGACGAAGGAGGGACCCTTGCCAGGAGAGGCAGATCCCAACAGCCTTCAGTCTGGACACCTGGGGAACCACCTTCCAAGGTAGGAAACTTGTGGGTGGGTTTAAAAGAGTAAATTTATGTCAGTATGTCTGTCTGTGTCTGTGTTTGTGTCAGTATGTCTGTCTGTGTTTGTCAGTATGTCTGTCTGTGTTTGTCAGTATGTATGTCAGTGTATGTGTTTGTGTCAGTATGTATGTCAGTGTATGTTTATGTCAGTATGTCTGTCTGTGTTTGTCAGTATGTCTTTTAGTGTATGTTTGTCAGTATGTCTGTCAGTGTATGTTCATGTCAGTATGTCTGTCAGTGTATGTTCATGTCAGTGTGTCAGTATGTATGTCAGTGTATGTTTGTCAGTATGTCTGTCTGTGTTTGTGTCAGTATGTCTTTTAGTGTATGTTTGTCAGTATGTCTGTCAGTGTATGTGTTTGTGTCAGTATGTATGTCAGTGTATGTTTATGTCAGTATGTCTGTCTGTGTTTATGTCAGTATGTCTGTCTGTGTTTATGTCAGTATGTATGTCAGTATGTCTGTCAGTGTATGTGTTTGTGTCAGTATGTCTGTCAGTGTATGTGTTTGTGTCAGTATGTATGTCAGTGTATGTTTATGTCAGTATGTCTGTCTGTGTTTGTGTCAGTATGTCTTTCAGTGTATGTTTATGTCAGTATGTCTGTCAGTGTATGTGTTTGTGTCAGTATGTATGTCAGTGAATGTTTATGTCAGTATGTCTGTCTGTGTTTGTGTCAGTATGTCTTTTAGTGTATGTTTGTCAGTATGTCTGTCAGTGTATGTTTATGTCAGTATGTCTGTCTGTGTTTGTGTCAGTATGTCTTTCAGTGTATGTTTGTCAGTATGTCTGTCAGTGTATGTTTATGTCAGTATGTCTGTTAGTGTATGTGTCTGTGCTTGTGTCAGTATGTCTGTCTGTGTATGTCAGTATGTCTGTTATTGTATGTCTGTGTATGTCAGTATGTCTGTTATTGTATGTGTCTGTATGTGTGTCAGTATGTCTGTCATTGTATGTCTTTGTGTATGTGTGTCAGTATATGCGTCTGCAT